AGGCTGCCTGCACCACAGGTAACCTAGGCGTCACTTATACTGGGGACATGCCCACCACTTTTGGAGATGGCCAACTTTGTCCCCACCAGCATTAGGATCATTTGTTAAATATGTTCTGAAAATAGCGTGCACAAAGAATTGTACACTTTGAGAGGTTTATCTGCACAAGAGAACATGCACTATCTGGAGGAGTGTTCTCACTTTCTGGGGGTTTTTCTGGTGGTCAAGTGGTGCAGTTTGGACCTGAGACACGTTTAATATTAGTGATAATTGAATAGAGAATAGTGAAGCAATGGTAGCTCCCGCTTAGCAGCAGCATAGTTACTGCACTAGTTGTTTAAAACACTACTATAAGCATATGTATGTACAGTATATGCACTACAGTACATATGTTTGTATTGTTTGAAGGGACGCTAAATGCAGTTGTGTTTTTTTAAACCTGAAAAGAGTCCCCACCACTTTTCTAACAACATGGGTACAACACTCTACAGATAAACATATCCAACAGTAGATATGAGTCATTCATCTGTGTGATTTTTGATGTGGTCAAATGTAAAGCAAAGATATAATATGTGAGTAGAACAGAGCCAACAGGGTGAGAGACGTGCAGGGAAGGAGTGTCCATGATCCTGACTGTTACTGTAGCGTGATGAAAGGTTATGCTCTTGCTTTAGCACACTGACTCTAATATCATACATTCATCAAATGTTTGGGTGTTTGGAGCCCCTTTAGCTTGCTGTTTGTATTTTCTATAGAGCTTTTAAACCTATATGTTTTGCTGTTTTGATTTATAATAACTGTTTAACCGAAATCTTGAGCTTTTTTAGCTGATTTTTTTATTTTCTATAACCTTGCAGCCATTGTTGTTTTAATTTAACAGAACATTTGATGTGCTTCAGTTTCAATGTTTTCTGCTAATCTGTATCTAATCAGGCTGCTACATTTGACAAAGAAACTCTAATGTTATGTCACATCACAGAACTCGACTCCTTCTATATGTCCCTGGCAGTTGGTGGAGACCAAAATGAACCATATTGTGGAGCATCTTTAGGGCCTTATATCTGTCGGCTTTGTATGAAACGTGCCTGACGCAGCCTCATCTCAGACAGTTGTTGATGATGTCTGCTGTTCTCTCTGCTGTCCTCAGATCAGTCCTGTGAGGGTCGCTGTGGGGAGACGTTCAGCCGCGGCCGGGTGTGTGAGTGTGATGCACAGTGCAGCCAGTATAGCACCTGTTGTCATGACTACCAGCTACACTGCGGTAATAACCAACAGCTACAGCTAAACCAGTACACACTGTGCCTTCTGCCACTTACTGTAGCAACACTTACACAATGTAAAGGTCCCCTATTATAGTATTTTCCAATAATATATCTCAGGTCTCAGATATATACAGAATCTGTCTCTGATTGGCTGAAACACCAAACAGATCACTGCAACATCCCATAATCCCCTCTTTTCAGCCCTGTTCCAAAAGTGCTGATTCTCTGTCTGTTACTTTAAATGCTAATGTGCTGCTGCTGGCCACGCCCCTCTGAGAGGTGATTGGTTTAAAAAACATAATGGTGCTCTAGGAGGAGATTCAGGTGATAAGGTGTGGGGGGGGGGTTACCTTGGTTGGTTATTGGCTAATCCTTGCAAACCCAAAAAAACATTGTGACATCACAAAGTGACCAACATCTGATCAGCTCATTTTCAGACAGGTTTTTATAAAGATGGATCAGGATAAAAAGAGAGGGGGTCTTTGTTCCTGAAACGTGTGCATGTAGAAGAGACATGAGAAAGTATATTTTGGATAGTGACTTTCAACTCATATTGAAGCTTTATGAAGATTGGATGGTAAATGGACAAGCATCCTGATCTGGGTGCTTTTGTCCGTCTGTCCTATCTCAGATGCCGGTGTCTCAGGCTCTCTCTCCAGGACGGCACAGCCTCTGAGAGCTGCTGCGACAGGTCAGCATCAACAACACCTCACTGCCAGCAGAACAGCTTTCACAGTGTCACTAACCAGATCCAATACTGTGTACTGAATTAGGTAACCAAACAAATCCCCATCTGGGCCATGTTAGCTCATGTTTACTATCAATCCACACAAAGCCGTGAGATGAACAAAAGAAACCTGAATTGACAGAATTCATCTATAGAATTTTTGGAATATGTATTTATGAATGGCTCAGCAGAGGCACAAGGAAACAGCAGGGACTCATACATGCAGGTACTGAGATGCAAGACAAAAAGTCACATATTTTAATATATTGAAGTTTAGACGTGAAATATGTTGCAGACTTGACTCTTCCTTTTTCTCACCATAAAACTGATGTTTCCCTTCTTCATTGGTTTTCTCCTCTTCAGGAAATCGGAGACCAGGCAGGGGGTGGGGAGACTCCAACAGTGAGAGTGAGGAATGGTACTCAGGTGAGGTTGTTCTAATTCTTATTCATTCAAAAAGAAGGAACAAAAACCTTAACTGTGTACAGAAAACAGAAAATACACAAAGCTTTTGCGAATGACTCTGGATGCAGAAACTGCCCATGAAGAAGACTGGAGGGGTTGTTTTTTCAAATGTTGAATCGACTTTCTCAGATAATTTGCATCACCAAAATAACATACTAGCTAAGTTGGGTAGTGCATTGCCAAATACAAAGCCCTACTCTTAGTAAACAAATCCATTTTGATTTCAAGACTTCAGGGGAATGGTCTTTAGGAAAATATACATATTATTTATTTGCAGGGAGTTGGATGAGAAGCTCAGTACCATGAAGAAAATATAAATCTAGGCCACTTAGCTTAGCATAAAGACTGGAAATGGGGTCAACAGATCAACAGATCACCTAAACGTAAATTCAGACACAACACACACAAGTTCTTTTATAACCAAACCTGTGGATGTGTAAGTCAGTTCTGAACCATGGATTCAATGATTGATGTTGTTATCTTATGACAATTTGTATTCTTATGTTTTGATGTAGCGAGGGGCCCCTGCTCCCGGTACCCCAGGGGTCAGTGTCCGGGGTCCATCAGACAGCTGACTGCCAGCTCCTCTGGGCGAGCTCCTGCTGCACCGACCAATCAACCACAACAGGGTTTGGAATATTTATTGCCTTCTTTAATTTCAAAAATAATATCTTAATGAAGCACTTTTTTTAGGTGTATATCAGTATGTAGTGTCTCTACTTTAAAGAGTCCTCTCCTGCTGATGTGCAGGTGTATATCAGTATGTAGTGTCTCTACTTTAAAGAGTCCTCTCCTGCTGATGTTCAGGTGTATATCAGTATGTAGTGTCTCTACTTTAAAGAGTCCTCTCCTGCTGATGTTCAGGTGTATATCAGTATGTAGTGTCTCTACTTTAAAGAGTCCTCTCCTGCTGATGTTCAGGTGTATATCAGTATGTAGTGTCTCTACTTTAAAGAGTCCTCTCCTGCTGATGTTCAGGTGTATATCAGTATGTAGTGTCTCTACTTTAAAGAGTCCTCTCCTGCTGATGTTCAGGTGTATATCAGTATGTAGTGTCTCTACTTTAAAGAGTCCTCTCCTGCTGATGTTCAGGTGTATATCAGTATGTAGTGTGTCTACTTTAAAGAGTCCTCTCCTGCTGATGTTCAGGTGTATTTCAGTATGTAGTGTCTCTACTTTAAAGAGTCCTCTCCTGCTGATGTTCAGGTGTATATCAGTATGTAGTGTCTCTACATGTCTCCATGCTTTAATGTTCAAAAAGCTCTTTATTCTTCTCATACTGCCTGTGCTGCAGCACCTCTTTTCACCCTCTGTCTGAAACCAGAGACCAGTCTGCTATGATTGGTTAGCTGGCCGCCTCGGTTGTGATTGGTCAACCGCATCTCCATCACTGAGGCCATGTGATGTGCATCTCGATACATTGCCTACGATACATTAACGATACATTTGAAGCACCAGGCGATGCGTTACGATACGATTCACCCCTGCTGCGATACAGTTCGATACGATTGGATTCAACATTATGCGATTCGGGGCGATACGATTAACAAATCAGCAAATCATAAATTAACAAGAAAGTGCTTCACATATTTGGTTCTCTCTACTAGTACTGTGCATCCCATCATGCTGTTTCTTTTTGACCTTAAATAAAAAAACACTTGGACTTTTCACAAGCTGGCCTTTTCACAAGGGTAGTAGTGTTCTCTGTCTCCAGAGTACAGTTCAATGTTATAACACCTCACAGTTAAACAATGTAAGGATGCATTGCCGGATTAACAATGTGCAAATAACAGCTACCATAGTGCCATGCCCATACAGCTGCTGACTGATGTGCTCAACACTCATCCATAGGCTAACTCACCAGTGAGCAGAAAGCACTGGTTTCTATAGGAACAATAAAGAATACAAAGAACCTTTCACAAACAGCTCTTTCATAACTGCTTACAGTGAGGAAGACATTTCAACTGTTATTGGCCGTCACTGGCTGCTGTAAACTAAACACCTCTCTCTCTGACAGAACAGCTCTCTGAGTGATTTCACTCATAGTCTAACTTTCAGGTTTCTCTTTTCAGACGCAGACCCCATGTCGCCTCTTTATGTGCGTCGCTAACTTCCTCGTACTACTTGTGTACTTTAAAGCGGCTCGGCATCGTTTACAATTTGCGAGCGATTTTTTCAAGTTGTCCGTCTTTCTTGTGTGTGTGTGTGTGTGTGTGTGTGTGTGTGTGTGTGTGTGTGTGTGTGTGTGTGTGTGTGTGTGTGTGTGGTGTGCGTGTGTGCGTGTGTGTGTGCGTGTGTGCGTGTGTGTGTATGTGTGTGTGTGTGTATGTGTGTGGTGTGCGTGTGTGTGTGTGTGTGTGTGTGTGTGTGTGTGTGTGTGTGTGTGTGTGTGTGTGTGTGTGTGTGTGTGTGTGCAGGACTCCTTGCTGATGGGACCCTCTGCAGTGATTCTCCCATCGATGGACTGACAGCTCTCAGCAATGGGACCGTTCTGATATTCAAAGGTCAGAATCAGAGTGTGTGTGGTCCAGCGGTCTTTGAGGATACGCGTTAGAATCTGTTGAAATGTTTCGACATCAATTCAAATGTTTGACGTGACTCAAGCTTAAAATGATTTTCTGCAAACACTGGAAAGAAATATATGAAATCAGTGTTTGCAGAGCTTTGTTTGTGTGAGATCTCAGGAGAATATAACGAAGTACATTAACTGAAGTACTGAAGTACAATGATGAGCCAATTGTTCTTGAGTATTCTTTTCATGCCACTTAATACTTTTTACTTTACCACAAATATTTGATATTTGTTTATAATAATAATTTAATTTGCAATTAAGATTTCAGCATATAGACACACAAGTTTATAAAATATGATGAAGAATAAAAACTAGATCAATTAATCTGGACAATTGAGGATTCATTATTTTAGTTTTTTTTGGGTAAGTTTTTGTTTGATACTTTCCCAACATTCTTCTTATTTCTTAAGTGACATGCAATGCAGGGTTTGACGGGTTAAAAGCAGAGAACAAATGTGTGTGCTGTTTGGTGTGTGTGTCTCAGGTGAGCTGCTGTGGTCAGTGGACCCCGTCAGCCGCTCAGTGGGGGGTCCTCAGAGGATCACACACACTCTGGGTGTGTCCTCTCCCATCGACACAGTGTTCACACGCTGCAACTGCCACGCACACACCTACATCATCAAGGTACAGTATGACCTGTGACCTCTGATACTGCCACTAACATCGACATTAATAAAAACTTTACATAAAGTAAAGGATTTATGTTGCTAAAAACTTACAGTTATTAAATCATATCAGAGTTTCTAAACTATATTCTGGATTTTTTGCACACTTTGTCTCAAACTTTTACAAACTATTTATTTGTCTACATGTTCACAGAGCTGAACACAATGCAAGTAGGCGGGAACACATTTACAGTAGCATCTTATTCAAATTCTACTACTTTAAAAAATGGTTATGTTTTCCAAGTCTAAAGGGGAGCCATATCATTGTTGATATATATATATATTTTTATATACTAACTTTATATGCTAGGGCCAACTAACCATTGGCATCGTGTGTGTGATTTTCTGGAAAGTTAAACGCACTATGGTCACTAACCAAAGCATCGTGAACATGACTGATGATTCTAAAACACAGACACCGCACCTGGTCGTCTGTGATTGGGCTAAATTCAGACCTTCTCAAATGGACAATGAAAAATGTTGACCTCTGCACCTTAAACAACTCTGTTCTTTTGTGTTGATGGTATTTATGTAGGTTTTATGCATGTGATTTGTGTATAATGTAAGTGGTGTTGTGTATGTGACTTCCCCCTGCAGGGGGATCAGTTCTGGCGTCTGGATGGGAACATGGTGATGGAGCCAGGTTACCCCCGACCTCTGACCTCTGAGTTCCCCGGGCTGACAGGAAGTATCCGCGCTGCGCTGGCAGTCCCCGCCACCAGGAGCTCACCGGAGAGTGTGTACTTCTTTAAGAGCGGTGAGGAGTGTATACTCACACACACACACACACACACACACACACGCACACACGCACACACGCACACACACACACACACACACACACACACACACACACACACACACACACACACACACACACACACACACACACACACACACACACACACACACACACACACACACACACACACACACACACACACACACACACGTGTCTGTAAGCACTATCTTTTAGTTACACTGAAAAATGAAATGACTTTTTTATGTGAAATCTGTTGACATAATACATTTAATTAAAGTCAACGCATCAGTTTTTCAGCTACGGTTGACGTTGTACTTTTACTCCAATACATTTCTAAGGCAAATATTGTACTTTTTCTCCACAAAATGCATTTGATAACTGTATTCAAACAGTTAATTTGCCGTTTTAGATTACTCATACAACATTTAAATGTATCAAAACATGATGTTACATTGAAGTTAATTATATATATATTAGCCTGAAATTCTGTGGAATACATACTTTTAGTTTAAGTATAGTTTGATGCTAGTAGTCTTATAATGTAATTTGCATCTCTGTACCCTGTATGCAAGGGCTGGTTTGCCTTCACTTACTGTACGGAGGCTCAGTCATTGGTACACGTTCATCTACAAAGTCATGTTGGATAAACTACCATCTTATATCTGCTCCCTGATCTCTCTGCGAATTGAAAGTACTTATTGCCTGAGATCGCATGCTGTGGTTTTATTAAATGTGCCAAGTGCTAGGACTGTTTTAGGGAAGAAAGCTTTTAGATGCGCAGCTCCACTAACTTGGAACAGTCTGCAAAAAGAATGGAAACGTACCAATCTGGTACCACTACATGTTTTTAAAGCACGGATAGATGCTATGCAGTCGGAAACTGTTGGAACCTGTAAATGTCACTATGTAAACTGTAGTCGCTGTAAATATGCTGTATGATGTCCTTTTTGTTTTTCTGTTATGTTTATATGTATTCATGTGGAACCTACTTGCAGCAGGTCACCCTTGAAAAAGAGATCAATGATCTCAATGGGACCTGCATAAATAAAGGTTTGAAATGAAAGTGTAACAGGTGATCTGTGTGCTGTGGCTTCCTGCACAGAGCAAGGATCTGTCCTCTCCTCCTGTAGAGATAAACTCACGTCATAAAAACAGTTTGTGTCCTGAATGAGTCCCTCTCCCTGTCTGCCTGCAGGAGACATCATGCAGAGGTTCAGTTTCCCAGCAGGCAGTGCGCCCTCCTGCAGCAACACCCCCAGCACCGCCCCGAAGACACGCTTCACTCTCCAGGCCGGTCAGTATCCAACATAAGTGTTCCTTCAAAAGGTTATAAAAAAGAATCAATCCAGGATGAATTCAGCTTAAATGTAAATCTACTGATGCCAACCGATGTAACTAAGTACATTTACTCAAGTATATGTTAAAACCACTACAGTTCGAATAATAATAATAATCAGTAAAATAATAATAAACCTTATTTATATAGCACTTTTCAAAGAGTTACAAAGCATTTACATAAAAAGCAGAACAGCTTCACACACAGAAAGGGATTCAGCTTCAGTTACTTTGCATACAAACAAATTGCCAGCTATAAACATTTAAGTCGTTTTCTAATTAACAATACAAAATGTATTTTACAAAATGAGACTGAATCTTTTTTATTTATTTTTTTGAGATTTTCTGCATTAAATGGTTTTATGTTTGATGCCTATACAACTAGGAGTTTTACTTTTACTAAAGCAACATTTCCAATGCCGAAGCTCTTACTTTTATTACAATATTATAACACTTTGATAGTAATTATTTTAGCTAAGTAATCTGAATACTCCTTCTACCACTGCCACAAACCAACTTCCTATAGAGTCTCATAACTCAGTGATTAGCAGTCTGCAATAAGTATTCCAATCCTTTCATAAAAACTTAGATTTGATCGGGCTGGTCCCTCAAAGACAGTCAGAGTGGGCATGCATTAAATGATGATCTTCTTATTTCTCTCATCAGGTCTTCTGGGGGCAGAGGTCAACATCAGAGTGTCTCTGAAGGGGTTCCCCTCCCCCGTCACCTCCGCCCTGTCCCAGCCCCGCCCTCAGAGGGGGGGGCTGTTCGAGCACTACGTCTTCTCTGGACGTAAGAATCCGCCTGTTACACAATCACTATTGTCACTAAAGCAGAGAGAAATAGTTGACCATCCCCAGGGCATCTTGGGTTTTGTGACAGCTCCATTTTAGAATAATATAAAAGATGAAGGGAAACTACCACACTGTTGACTATGTGGTGTTTTAAACACCAGTAGTGATAGAAATGTCTCTGAGGCTGATCGTGTATGTGCTGAGGTCAGTACTGCACTAAAGTACACTTTGAAGATACTTGTATTTTACTTTTTTCTTCTCATGCCACGTTCTACTTCTTCACCTCAGAGGCAGATATTGTACTTTTTACTCCAATACATGTATCTGACAGCTTTAGAGGCTTCACCGTTTTTTTCCCATCAGCCACCAGACAGAAAAAGGATCATCAGATATTCTGATGGTTGGAGTCAGTCTTCCTGTAGCAGACACGTTTCAAGGTTCCAGCTTCTCTCTGTGCAGCTTGGCTTATCTTAATGTACAAGTTATTAGGTTGAGGTTTGGACTGAACAAACTCTGATGGGCTCAGGTGATTGGCCAGAATCTCTCACTATTTTCTGAATTTTCAAAAACCAAGGGATCTTTGGATTAGTCTTGGAGAAAACAGTTCAATATGAGCTCTACCCCAAATAACTAACTATAGAGTTAAACCCTTCTTTTCACGAGTAATAATAATACATACAATGATATACCAGGAGACATGTTCCTGCTTGGAGTCAGTTCTTCTTCCTGATATATTTGACATAATGTTCACAAACTCTTAACTCTTTCCATCTGTGACAGCTCTGACTCGTCCAGTGTGTGAGGTGATGTTAATAATAATCCTCTCTCTCTGCAGCTCTGTTCTTCAGCGTCCACATCTCAGGTGACCTGCTGGTGCTGACCGCACCTCCGGCCCCCGCAGCCCCGGCCCCCCCGCCAATCCTCAGCCCTGTTGTGTACAGCGACTTCGCCAACATGGCCGCTCAGAATGCTAACACCCCCCCCCCCAGCTAACTCCATCAGAGTGTGGCTGCGCTGTCCCTAACGTCCTCACGTCCTGCTCTGGTATTATAACCACAATATTTTCAAAGCACTAAATGTATCATGTACTATTATTGCAGTACATTCATATCATGATTTCAATTCCCAGAAGTGGTAACTATAATGTTCTAATGTAACTAATATTCCTTACAAATTTGAATAGCTGCGTCATTCTTTAAAACGTTCCACTGATTACAAACAACACATCACTGCTTATCATTATTCAGCTTTATTATTAAATGTTTATTAACAGTCTACAGAGCAACATTAAGATACTAACAAAATAATCAAGAATAAACACAATGGACTGGATCATCATCATCATCATCAGGCCAAGCCCCCTCTGCCCATGGCCCCTCCCCTTCCTCCTCGAAAGAAAGTGCCTGAAAACAAATGTGAGGAGAAAGCATGAGAGATTCCATGTGATCATATCTGTTTGTGATCTATCCCCATGTTTATGCTGCTCTCTGCTTATTGCACTTCAATAAACAGCTTCATCATTCCCCAGAGTGACTGGAGCTTATTGTCAACATGTTCCACATCAGGTCTTAACAGAGTGCTCAAGGGATGACGTCTTTTTAAGTTAGCATGGCAAGGGCTCCCTCGACAAGAAGCCGAGGGATTCTTCTAAAGAATTTAGAATATTGCAGAAATTAAGATTTTTGGCAAAAAAACGTTTTATATTTTCACATTTTGTTCAGCAATATAATGTCCACACATTAATAACACTTCATGATTCTGAAAGTATAAAGTCAATCAACAGAAATAAAAAGATAATCATGACGTTATAACAAACCACATGACCTTACGTCTCCACCGCTAAGATAAAAGTGGCTAGTGTTCAGCGTGATGACGTTGAGTAGTCTAATTTAGACACTTAGCAACCGTCTTTTATAGGACACAAAGAAGCTTCTGATATTCACCAGCGTGTATTTACTGACATATTCTATGGCGTAAAACAAAACATGAACATCTCTTCAGCTTCTGTTAACAGACATTATTCAAAGGCTTCTAACCAAAAACACATTCAAAAAACTGTTGACTTGAAGACGAGAGCGGGAGGTGCTGAAATGCTGACTCATTCCTGCACCACTACATCATCTCTGACACTGAAAGGACAGTTGTATGTGGTCACCTCTGCGGCTGAGCAGCGTGCGCGCCTCCATCCTCCCCCCCCTGGTTCCTCTGCTCATCACACCACTTGCTGTGCGCCGCTGAGCTGCACTGCTGGTGTCTGAGGACGGAGAGGAGCAGACTGTCAGGGACAACACATCAGGACAAACATTAAACACAACCAAAGATTAACATCTGTCATACCAACTAGGACAAACAGATTCAGCTGAAACAAATATCACCGTCAGTCATTCTGAGTGTGGATCGGTTGAGATGATCAGAAGCTGCCCATTTTTCAATGTTTAGACGTTCGATTTAAAAACCTAAACAGATTGATCTGGTTGTCCAGCTGTCCAGATAAGCATCCCTTGTGTACAAATTGATGTTGAAATATATGTTAAAATATAATTTTGAATGAAGTATTGCTGATCTGCAGTCTACAAATTCTTTACTACAGACTTAATCAGTCCCTGAGCAAGGCATCGCTCCCTACACTGCTCCCTGGGTGCCGTTCACAATGGCAGCCCACTGCTCCTAACACTAGGATGGGTCAAATGCAGAGAAACCTTGTACTACGTAATGACAATAAAAGTGAAAAAAACAAAACTAGTTTCTTTGATACAGTTTCTCATATTTATTTATTGTTCAATGAAAAATCATCAATCCCTCCAATATTGTGAATAACACCTAGAATGATAGGGCTGTTGCCAATAGCTTTTATAAATTGTCTTCTAAAAACCTAGTTATCAGACACGTTATTTTTTTCAGACTTCAAATCCATGACAACTGAAACAATTTAGAGTGGGTGTTAATGGTCCTTTTTAAACGGACAAGTCAAATCAAGCAATCTGATTGGTTCTTAGCCGTGATATAATGAGCGTATATCACAGGTAGAATTGCAGTTTTCACAAACCCTCCGCGTCTGAGAAAAGCTACAACCGTTACAACTGTAACATTACCCAACCAACCAACCAACCAACCAACCAACCAACTAACCAACTAACTCACTAACCAACTAACCAACCAACCAACCAACCAACCAACCAACTAACTAACCAACCAACTAACTAACCAACCAACCAACTAACTAACCAACCAACTAACTAACCAACCAACTAACCAACTAACTAACCAACCAACCAACCAACTAACTAACCAACCAACTAACCAACTAACTAACCAACTAACTCACTAACCAACTAACTAACCAACCAACCAACTAACTAACCAACCAACTAACCAACTAACTAACCAACTAACTCACTAACCAACTAACTAACCAACTAACCAACTAACTAACAAAGCTTAAGATGGAAACATGTAAGGGATAATGTGCAGCAAGGACTTATTGACCGTTGTTAAGGACGCTCACATCTGCAGAAAGAAGTCCGGTCGATTTAACTGTATACCGTTGGGCTGAAAAGCAAACTGGGACAAGAAAACAGCGGAGAAGTAATGGGGCAGAAACCCTCCTTTTTACGCAGCGGTCCAGACATAGACATCAGACGACGACACATATTCAGTTGCCAGTTACTTTGTCATTAGGGCAGGGGTCTCTAGATACTTTCCAAGGTTTGCTATAATGAATGGTGCTACTTTTAAAGCAAGCAATGATGTTTTCAAATCTGTAATCAAAAAGCTCCTCAAAAACGCTATGGAAGCAGTTCCTGCCGTTGCTACGTTAGTTCAAACAGTAACAACGGACTACTTTTGATTGTTTTACCCATAATGACCGCCTCGCTGCACATTATCCCTTACTTAACTTGGACCTCCGGGGGGGTCTTACTATGGAGGAGTGGATTGAGCTATGCCTATCTCCAGAAAAAAAAGCACCTAAACGACGACATGCAGAGCTACGTGAAGAGCAGGCAGACCAACTGGAGAAGTGCCACCATTCAAAAGCTTTGATGACAAAAGTGCAATATTTGAAACAAAGCAGAGACATGATGACCGTTAGTGGCCACAGGTGTGAAAGCTCTCTCCAGAGCTACTGGAAGCAGAATCTCGGGACCGGAGAAAGTGGAGCAATATTCTGACCACGCCAAGCAACAGCCAGAACAACCTCAACCTATACAAGTAACCTCGTAAGCCATGCTACTGATGCTGGACAGGTTTTCAGTGGCTGCACAATAAACGGCAACATACACATTAAATAAATAGCCAAATAATGGATCAACGCTCTCTGTGTAATATGTTCGCTAGCTGTTAGTGTTGTTGCATAGCAACCACCTCGCACTATGTTTCGTGCAGAAGGCAACGGAGGGACTATTTTATTTTGAACAACATTATTTACTAATAAAAACTATTTAAATTAGAGTGTGTATTTTTCTTTCATATTGCCACACTTGGTAACCGTTTTATAAAAGCAATAGCTCACTTCAGGCCGTGACATATGCTCATTATATAATAATAATAATGGGTTCCATTTATAAAGCACTTCATATTTGACTTCAAATCCCAAAGTGCTACAAGCAGTGAGCATGAACAGTATAAGAACATTATACTACACGGTAGAATTAATAAAAAGCAATAACAAACAAACAATAAAATAAAAGGGTGGTAATAAATAAAAGGTCTAGGCAAAGGATGGGTTTTGAGGCCTTTTTTAAAAGCCTCCACGGTCTGTGGTGCTCTCATTTGGTCGGGGAGAGCATTCCACAGACTGGGAGCGGCCGAACAGAAGGCCCGGTCTCCCATAGTACGGAGCTTAGTCCTGGGGGGTTTGAGGAGGTAGGAGTTGCTGGAGCGGGTAGTCCACAAGGAGGTATGGGGGGTGAGGAGTTCCTTGAGGTAGGGAGGGGCAGTTCCATGGGCACACTGGTGGGTGAGGACGGAGACCTTGAATTCGACCCTCAGTTCCACGGGGAGCCAGTGTAGTGCTTTAAGGATGGGGGTGATGTGATCATATTTGCTCACCCTCATCAGGATCATCATATCACAGTTAAGGGGCGTGGTTCGGCCCGACGAGAAGCGAACCACGCCCCTTAACTGTGATATGATGACCATATACCACGGCCTGTCGTGAGCTATGACCAAAACATACACTGATCGTTAATGTGGAAGCTGTTAGCATGTGTAAATGCAGCCTTTTGACAGTAGTCGCAGCAGTTCTGTTAACATCCCAGAAAACCTTAGTTGGGTTCACAATGAAGAGTTAATGCTGGTCAGAAGACAGAGTACAGTACCAGGCTCCTGGCTGGTAGAGGGCAGTGAAGCATCATCACTCTGCTGACCTGCTGACTCCAGGTCTGTCTGGCTGTCCAGAGAAGATTCAATACCAGCACTGCAAAACACAAACACTGAACTCAGACACTCCATCCAAATCTGTTCTCAGTCAAATGGAACACATTGTTTACACAGATACTTCAGACGATTAGGAAAGGGATTCAATAAGCTGCTCACCCCTCTCCCTCCTGCTCCATGAACACTTCGTCCCCATCATCTGCAGCAGACGCCATCCCAGTGGATGTGGTTACCATGGGAACCGACTGGGATGCCATGTTGTCACCACTGTCTGAGGGCAGAGACTCCGTGAAGACGGTCACTGACAGACAGAGTCATGATTCACACGTCACAATGTGCAGTGCGTCACCATTTTTCAAGTAAAATCTATCAAACGAGATGTTGATCTAATCGAAATCAAGATTTCCAAATTCTTTCAGTATTTTTTTTATCTCCACCTTGTAGGGCTGCACCCGAATATTCGTTCGTTGGAGTACTATTCAGGTTTCAATTTCGTTATTCGTTTTTTTTCTGATTGAATTTATTGAAAACTCAAATATCAACGTAAGAGCTTGTGCCTCTTCGGGGGGTGCTAACACTTAACCATAAACGTTATTGTTTACTTTCTCCGTCTTTATATGTAGATATTACTTTTCTCCGTTGATCTCCGTCACGTTGTTTCCATAGCAACAACAACTTCCTGTCAACAGCGCTACCTCTCCTTCAAAATAAAAGCATGTCCACAAATAGGAAGCCAAGCCAAATTACACTTAAGACATATACAACTGCAACGAAAGTAACAAACACCATGCGATATCCTTTTCAATTTCAAAGAACACAAATTGGGTTACATTAACAAATAACTATAAAACAACAATACTG